GGCATGTCGGCAAACGATGCCATGAAGATCAAGATGGATGACGATGAGAACAACACGCAGAACTTCATGAATGTCATGCAAGAGGCTACATGCAAGACGTTCAACTTCAGGGTGCGGGCGAAGATGGAGACATACCAGGACCAGCCAAAGTAAGTGTAGTGGACGTCGAAGTTTGATATCTGCTAATATTTTGCAGACCGCGTTACCAGGTTCAGAACTTGAACAAGCTCAACTACGCCGCGGAGGCCAACAAGCTGGCTCAGCTCATCAAGCAGTACAATATCGACGACGACACCTTGTTCGTCAACTAGAATCGTGCTTGTCTCTTTCGAGCGACTGCATCACGTTCGGTAGTATTTAGTAATGTACATGAGAGCTTCGAATGATGGATGTTAGATAGATGCACACGACGTTCCGCGCGGACAAACCCCCGAATGAAGCAAGTTGTACCATACCATTACGAGTCTATTGCCGCGGCCTATGTTGTCCGACCCCACCATAGCTCAAGCTCAATGACTAGGTGCCCCTCAAACGTCATTACCAATCATTTCCGTAGCTACCGGAATGGCCTCGGAACAGACTACCACTTTCCTTATGAATTTCTGACACTCTGACACTCTGACAATCTCTCTGACAACCCCTCACTAATTGTAAAGCGCCACCTTTCTACATTTCAATCTACTCGTATTCATTTTCAGCGGCCAACAAACCCCATCGACTATTACAATGAGCGACACGATGCGCGCAGTAGGTGTGTACCAACATTATTGTACTTTGAAACGCCGAATTTGCTAACTTTGCGAAGATATCAAAGATGGCAAAGGCCCCATCGAAAACCTCCACATCACCGACATCCCCAAGCCGAAGCTCGGAAAGTCGCAAGCGCTCGTTAAAATCAAGGCTTTTGGTCTGAATCGCATGGACCTATTGCAACGCGAAGGAATGTATCCAGTACCCCCTGGTGCTTCAAAAATCCTTGGTGTAGAGTTCTCGGGTACAATCGCAGAGTTGAGCGCAGAAGGCGGAGGCAAGGAGGGCTTCAAGGTGGACGATGAAGTCTTTGGCCTAGCATATGGAGGAGCGTACGCCGAGTACATTGCCGTGTCAACACACATGCTGGTGCGGAAACCAAAAGAGTTGACTTGGGAGCAATGCGCGGGTATTCCTGAGGTAAGTCAATGCCTTCTCGTAGCGTCCAGCGCACCGTAAATTATCGTTTTGCTAACAAAGTCCTCATAGACCTGGATCACAGCAACCCAAGCCATGTACCTCGTCGGCCAATTCGCTGCCGGCAAAACCATCCTCTGGCACGCAGCCGCCTCTTCAGTCTCGATCGCCGGTATTCAACTCTCCCTCGCCGACAACGCTTCCGCAGTCTACGCAACCGCACGTCAAGACGCCAAATGTAATTTCGCCGTCAAGGAACTTGGTGCAACCGCTGCATTCAACACCACATCTCAGAACTGGGCGGAAGAGGTTATGAAGGCTACAAATGGGAAGGGCGTAGACATCATCGTGGATTTCATCGGTGCATCCTACTTCCAAGCAAATCTTGATGCTATCGCCAAAGATGGTGTCATCGTCAATCTGGGCTTCATGGGCGGTACCAAGGTGCCAGAGGGTACGGATATCAGCGCATTCATCAGGAAGAGGTGTACCTTTGTGGGAAGCAGTCTGCGATCGAGAGACGAGGACTACCAGGGCAAACTCAGGGATCAGCTTGTGGAGCATGCGTTGCCTAAGATGAAGGATGGCAGTTTCAAGCTGTTTGTGGAGAAGGTCTTGCCGTGGGAGGAGGTGCAGGATGCGCACAGGCTGTTGGAGGAGAACAAGACTAAGGGCAAGGTTATTTGTACGATCGATTAGGAGTTAGTCTAATGTAGAAGGGTAGGGTAGGGTAGGAGATCACGAGAGATCAGCCAACAACCTCAAGTCCAATCACAACATTCAACAAGATACAGGAGAACTTGAACCATATCTCCAGTACATGTTAACTATTGCCTCACATGCCACAGCACTATTGTTTGATGTTCCTCAAAAGACAAGATTACTGCAGGCTTCGCATTAATGTTCTAACGTTCAAGCCCAACTCCCCCGCCCCAAAAAAAGTAAACCTCAACACCTCGCTATCAACACCACCACACCGAGGACACTGCTAGAGCAAAAAGACGACGTTGGCCAGATTCGAACTGACGCTCCCGAAGGAACAAGATTTCTAGTCTTGCGCGATAACCACTCCGCCACAACGCCCCCGGATGCGACACCTGTGTGATTCGAACACACGCTCCCGAAGGAACTGGCTAACTTCCCTCAATACTGAAGACTAGCAGGCCAGCGCGTTAACCACTCCGCCAAAGTGCCAGACAATTGATTGCTGATTGATGAAGAAACCTGGATCTGATGTTTTCATATTCCCAAAGATCAAATGCCGACGTTAGGGGTCGAGAACTGGAATTTTGGGCGGATCTGGTGGAGGCGAGCTAAACATGTTGAGTTGCGGCGACAGGAAGGTGGGACGTGTTCGTGGGGCTGGAGGTTTGACGGGTAATCGGGCGGTAAGTGCGGGGACGTTGAGCTGAGTTTGTACTTAGCAACTTCCAACATCTTACCATCACCCCATCACTATTCGACAATGGGCTTTCGAGGAATACAGTGCTCCAATAAGTCCCGAAATCCGAATGCTGGTTCATTGAGTATGTTGCTTTCCATACCTAGGTACATGTTCCAAGGTGATGGTCGTTAGCCTAAGCTGCCGGTAAGCAGCAAAACAAAAGGGGGAAGATCATGTATAAAGTGGATGGACGACCTTGGTAGTATAGCCACGTACCTATGTATTTGAGCCTCGCGGAAGAACTGACTACTGACCGGTCAATCCACTGACTACTCAACCATGACTAACTGACTGACAACCTGGGAGAGCCGATATCAACAATCCTGTCCACGGACGGCTTCGCTGCGTCTCTTGTCATCCCACCTCATGCCTTCGCTTCCGCTTCGAAAGCCCTCACTCGCTCGGCGAAATCGTCTCGTCTCTTGTCAACCTGACGAATTGCTTGTTCGAGAGTCTGCAAGAGAGACTTGACGCAAGGACCACCTGACTTCTGGACCTTGCCGTACATGGTTCTCATCTCTTTTGCCTCTTCCACCAACGTGGCCAAGTGTCTGCCCAGAACCTTTGACGCAATCTCGAAGGCAAGCTCTAGAGTATCTGGATTTCTCAAACCGCCGATCGCTGGTAGCAATCGCTTATTATCTGCTGGCGCATACCCTGCCATCTGCTTTCTTACCCATTTCAAGAACTCGACGTTGTCTATGGGAGGGGTCTCTGACTCTGTAGGCACCGGTGTACCTCTCAAATCTGCCAATCTGCCCATAGGAAACGCTGGTGATGATGACCTTTCCGACGCTCGTGACTTTTTCGGCGCTCGAGCTGCACCATCACCAGTGCGTTTTCGCTTCAAGTCCGTCGCATTTGTGGATGGCGAAGGATGCGGACACTCCGAGTCGTCGTTTTCGCGGTATGAAGAGGTGGGATCGACACTGTCCGTGGACGGAAGCTTTGGAATCGCGATCTGAATGGATCTTGGCAAGTCTCCGTTGGTGAGCTCCAGGTCGTATAGTATGAGGATGGCCTTCGGCTGTACAGTCTCGGGAATATCCTGCCTCGCCATCGCGTCATCAGCGCCAACGTCACCGCTGTTTTGATCGTTATCCATCTCTTTTCGAAGTGCAAGCGGCAAAGGATGGGGCGAGGTGGCGTGGGAACAGGCAGTTAAGGAAAGGCGGAAAGACCTTGTATGGTCGCAGTAGCTCCAAATCTGGCTTCACCTATTTTTCGTCTCTCACCTTCACCTACGAAACAGGCAGTCACCTTGGCCTTGGCGCTTTCAACAGGACCAAGCGGAGCCCTCGACTGACCGAATGCTCATCTCAACGAAACAGAACTCCCGCAACACACACGAGATATACGATGACTGAGTCCGCCCATTAAATAATGGAAGGGATGAGAAAGAGGCCAACGGAACTGAACATACGCACAATATGACCGTTGGCCCAAAACCGAATTGCGAACAATTGACGAGATAGGTAAAGTCATCGTTCAGCTGACATTCGGAAGCCTACCGGGAGGCCACATTCCACCTACATGCGACGATTCAATACATCAGCTACCTTCCAACGAATACGATACCGTGGTTCTATCAAGATATACACTACAAGTCCGGCCCCGGACCTATCCCTGGAGCTAGCAACACAATGAAGCTTTGCCCTCTCAGCACTGGGATAGTGGGTCTGGGCAGTTCGATGTCTTTCCACGTGGACGGTGGAGCGCACCCGGGCAGTTCACGTGCGTGACGCGCCGTCTCGCCAAGATCACGACGCGTCGCGAGACAAGTTTCTTCCTCCCACCTCCCTTCAATCTCGACGGCCAGAGATATCGTACTGCAGGTAGAGTGGACCTCTAGCAAGGGTGATGGCGCGACAGAAACTCTTGAACGCAAGCCAGTCTGCAATTTCGCGACATCCAACATGTGGGTCGTCGGGGTATTCACGATGACAGCAAGGAAAGAGACACTGACAGCAACCACGGTGGTGATTGGTGATCTTCAAGATGACGAGAGCACTGTCGGTAGCGATGCGGACTGGCAGGCGGCTCTACGCGATGCTCGCGCTATTCTGACCGAGCGGGGCGTCATCACTGTCTATTGGAACTCCGAGTTGATGCCCGGCTCGTAGAGGAAATGGATGAACCAGGACCACTTCAGAGACCTATACTACCACGGTCACAAGATCGACCGAATGGGACGTCTACAATACCATCAGCCACCCAGAGCTCGAAGGGAGCGCCTCTTGTTTGACCCCAAGCACGCAACTTATGCGTCAGCCCGGGCAGGTCATACCATTGTGGTGGCTACATACAGTCAGCTTCAAGCCATCGAAGACGGCAAGAAGGAGCGAGGAGAACGCGATAGACGCTTGAGGATCATCTTGGACGAAGGACAATGCATCCGCAAGTGCGACGAGACGAGGCAATCCGGGATACCAATCAGCTGAAAATCAACTGTGACGTCTACAACTACGGCGAGGAAGCTGGTACTCGCAAGGAGCGACTCCCCTTCGACAAAAGGCACAGCGTATACACGGGGGCTCGTGCGGGACACACAGCTGTGGTGGCAAGCTACAGCCAGCTGCAAAACCTAAAGGATACCGAGAGTGCGCGTGAGCAGCGGCACAAGCTTTTCCTCCGCATTATTCTTGACGAAGCTCAATGTATCCGTAGATGCGATCGGACTCGACAAGGTAATATTCTCATGTCATTCGATGCACATTTCAAGGCCGTCTTCACAGGATCCCCTGTTGTTGACACTATCCTGGACTTCGATGGGTACTTGGCTTTCCTAGAGTTCGTCGGATGGGGATGGGTCGCCGATCTAAACTCAACCCACAGCACCGAAGAGGTTCGAAAGTCGCGGTACGACAAGTTCAAGGAAGGCCTGGCTACCGGTGTCAACAACCGCTCTGAGCCCCTCGAAGATTGGCACAGCGACTGCAGCTCGGTGGACGAGCTAGATACTCAACAAATTAAGGGGTCCATCGAAGACGGGTGGCAGTGCTCGCACTAGCCTGCGCTCATAAGATACAACGGTGATCGTCCACCAAGCCTGGATCGCAATGACAGGAAGAAGATCGACGGCAAGACTATCGTGAAGGATGTTTCACCTTCGTTTCCAGGAGAACCCCAACGATATGTACTATCCCAGGGTCTCGGATAATAACATGTACTACTCGATCGCTTCTTTCAGGCACTAGATCACACTGTCGTCAAGGACCGCTCTGAGTCGATCGAGGATTGGAGGAGCGACTACAACTCGATGGACGATTTTGGCGACATGGAGATCAGGACAGAGATCTCATACGGCTGGTAGTGCGCGTACCAGACCGCACTGCTGAAGTACCACCGCTACCAACCGTCAAGCCTCGACCGAAAATCCCGCCAAAAGGTGGATGGCCGATCGATACTGGTAGACATACCAGCACCCTTCCCAGAGAATCCATACGACAATTAATACCCATCCAATCTTGACAGCTTGAAGTGCTGTTCAACAACAGCCTTTCGTTACTACATTGGATGGCACATGAAGAAGCCCATCATGGATGAGGTCGATGTAAAGATCGTCGCCACACGCGTCCACAAGATTAGCTCCATGTTGGTTCTGTCAAGAAACCTGTTCAGTAATGACGTCGCTGAGGCCAGGGAGAACATGAGCCTTGTTTATGGTTCGTGCTTTCGTAATATAGGTATCTAGGAGCCTACAATCCCTTAATTCATCTGTCCAGCAAAGTTATCCATCAGCTGGGATAAGACACTAGCTTCACCAATGGTTTTATCCCTTGGATTATATATATCTGGAAGCCTACAACTCATCAAGAAGATACCTGGTGTCAATATATAAATATTGCGGAGGAATACAAAACATCTACAATCCTCTGACAATTTGATGACTAGACCTTGGGCAGCTACATGGAAGCGTGCGGCCGCCAGAAAAAGGCCAGAAAAGCAGTGCAGAAGAGACCGAGCTCCAATTTCTCCAAATTATCGGTGCTCTGCGCCCACATCGGATTCTCAGGACTCGAATGTTAACATGGGCAATTTGCGCGATGCGAAAGGAGGGTCTCTATCTTCTCACCGCCAGAAAGAAGAAAGTTGGAATCTCGAACCCGGAAGATAAGAACCGCCCACTAGAAAGCGAAGAAACGATCTTGTGTCAGTTCTTGTGGGGAAGCCCTGACTACCGCTGACGAGTTGGCAGCCTACAACGAGCGAGAAGACAGATACTAGCGTGAGTTTGCCGAGCACTTCGAAGCGGCCTCGTTGGCAAAGACCGCGAAGGTGAAGGACTTCAAGACGGACTTGGCAAAGATCGGATCCAAGTTCGCAAAGCTGTCGGTGCTTTGCACGCACATCGGCTTCTCCGGGCTGGACAAGATTTTGACGGCGGCGGCGGCAACCCGTGCGCAGCGGCGTGAGGGTCTCCCTCTTCTCACCACGAGGGTCAAGACAGCTGAAGCCTTGAACCCAGAGGATATAGATCGCCCGCTGGATAGCGACGAAGAGGTTCTACGGCAATTCTTGCGGGGCTCGCCCAGGATGAAGTACTTGCTTTGGGAAATCCAGCGGGTGATCTTGGGTAACACCAAGGTCGCCAGCCACCGAAAGATCTTCGCAACCTTCCAATTCCCCAGATTCGCTGAGATGTTCCTGAAGCTTGTGGAGTTCCTTGGAATTTGTGCGGTCCTCCTGGACACCAACATGCCTCCGGACGAGCGTCACAAGAATATCCGGGCCTTCGACGAAGAGGACATGCCGCAAATCCTCATAACAATGTATGCTCTCAACATCGCTGGCCATGACGCTCAACATCGTTGTGCTACCGTCGTGCATGTTGAGCCGGCGTTCAACTGGGCTACGGAGCATCAGGCGGCCTCACGAGTCTATCGTTTTGGACAAGAACAAGCGGTCGAAATCGTGCGCTTGTTCACGGATGGTACGTACAAAGAGCTGCACGAAGCTGGCTCGATCAAGAAGGCCAACTCCATGTTTGCTACTTTTGGTGAGCTGCAATCTGCAAGTGAGGGCCTCGAGGACCGGGAGAAGGTGACGACCGAGGAGATCGCGAAAGGTGCATTCGGCATGGTCCGGGATCGTGTGCGGGACCGCGACGACAAAGACGTGCAATCAGCCAAGAAGGACGCTATCACAAAGGCGAAAGGCAAGGCGAGAGTACCGTAAGAGTAGGTTGGCTCCGATCGTGCGACTGTTGATCGAGGGCATCTACCAGAAGCTCCACGAAGCCGGTGTGGCCAGGAAGGCGAATTCTGTATTTGCGAAATTTGGTCAGCTCCAATCCACCAGTAACAGACATGCCTTTGGAGAGGATATAGCTTTCGGAGAACTTACAAGTGACACGTATGAGCCAGCTTGGAGGCTACGTTGCAGCATGAATAGCGATGATTCAGGCCAATACGTGCACTAGAAAGCTACAACTAGAGTCGTCAGGTTATCAGCTGTATGTGAGAGGATAGCCAGGAAGCTACTGTGCAGTGCACATCGGTATAATTAATTGTCAAAGCTGACCGGGAAGACTACAATAGCTATCGTTAAGATGAATCCCAAATTTAAACAACGGCTAGGAGATAACATATCCCGTTGGCGGTGATAGCGCGTGCCCACGCTCTGCGACTGTTAAATACATAAAGCCAACATTGAAAGGGTAATGGGGCAATAGATAGCCTGCAGAGCCCATTGGATTCGTGCATCTTCTCGGTGCCACAGCCGTCACAACAAAGTAGGGCTCGGTAAAGGTACTCTATGAGAGTCGGCCAGTGGAGGCCGAAGATCTGGTGGCGTTTGTAGACGTCTCCTGACCGCTGCTCACCTGATCGTAATGGATCCTCGCTCCTCCTGGCGGAAGACACTCAATGATCTCGGCGTCGTCACCGAGCTGCCCTCTCAGGACCATCTTGGACCTGGCAACGTCTTTGAACAAAGGGTTTGACGTAGTCTGCCACGTGCCCGTCTAGACCCGGAAGGACACAGCGTAGATACGTCTTTTATCCGCTTTTTGTAGACAATCATGTATGCTCAACCCTCCATTGTGTTCATCGAGAGGAGTTCCATTAACGCCTATGTCGCCATCTCGTATACACGAAACCGTAGCACGAGACGTGCTAGTCTTCTACCTCCTCTCGCCAACTATTCTAGCGAGACCTTTTCAATTGATGTCGTCTGAGAGTTCCTCGCGATATGACATATGATATGCTCTGCCGGCGTAACAATTAAACAGATCAATGGTAGGAAGATGAACACGTAGCGAGGGTGTCGTGACTTCGTAGAGTCGTAAAGACCAGGTATAGTGTAGTCGTGGCGGTTCGCATGATCTATGTCGTTGTGTTGCTCATGCTGCTTTGAAAATGTTGGTAATTCCGCCAGTCGGAACCACGGGCGATTTCTTTGGGTCACGTTTTGACTTCTTGAGCACGCGTTACCGGTCGCCGTTCCGCCCGATCAAGCGACCGTTGTGTGCTTGACCGTAGTCTTTCCAGTCCTGGCAAGCCTTCCAGGCCGCCAGTAGGTTCTTGACGCCGTCATCTACCGCCGTTTGCGTGGACAGCCCAACGAGAAGGTCGCGAGACTCGAAGAACCCATAGTAGAACCCGGAGTTATGCTGAGGGAAGTAGGATATGTTCATGCCATACACCAACTCAGTCTCGCGGACGATGAGCGTGAAAGATGGAGAGCGCTGGAGCCACGGCAGGATTAGGGTTGCCTTGCATGCGAACCCATCTAGGCCGATGGAAAGGATGATAGGCTTGGTTCCACGAGCGGTGGAATGCTCCAGGAACCTGTCGATATTATACGTAAATTTATGTGCGCGAGCATAATAGGCCCTTCGGGTTGGGTCGGTGGTCGTGTGCGCCTGGGAGAACTTTCCTGTAGGGGCGACTGATGTATGGACGTAGGACATCGCAATGAGTGTAGCATTGATGCCCTCATTGCTATCGTAGTCGTTCGCGAACTCGTCAAAAAGATTTTTGGCCCATATCTTTATGCCATCGGCCAGGTGCTCCTCTCCGGCGTTCCAAGCTTTAGGTGATTGACTCGAGGCTCTTACTACTGCAAGCACGCATGGTGCTTCGCTGGTCATAGACTTTTGATAGTCGACCCGGAAAACGCCGTCGAATCGCGCTGTGATTTCTCCATCTTCGCCCTTGCATCCCGACTCGTGTAAGCTATAAGGTACAGGTCGTACCAAAGCTTTGGGCATTTACTGCATTCATACAATCCCCTCATGTCGTGGACATGCATGCCAACATGAGTGTCATACGCTCAGATGTCCTCTTGTTTTCTTCGCTGTAGAATTGTTTTCGGTGCCCGGCTAGCAAATAGAGACCGCACCGGTGAAGCACTCACCGCATTGTCGTCTTCCGGGGGCGTCATCCGAGAGGCTGGGTGGCAGCGCGCTCTGACGTCGTCGCCGGGGTCGTTGTTGCCAGTTCTTGGGAGAAAGGAAAGTGCCATGTATCCTCCTGCCCTCCTCGTACAAAAGCACCCACTACCTCCCGTCGCAAATCAAAGCGATAACTTTCCCAAATGTATTGATAACAGTACAGATGCGATTGAAAGGGTTACATTTGCAGTCTCGAGCTAAAAGGGGAATCATATAGTTACTAGCTACTCGCATTTCGTCGTAATGGCATCCGTAGCTCAAAGAAGAAGATTGCACAACGCCGATACCGCCCATGGCGATGATCGTAATCATCACCAGATCGCACCCGTACCTTTAAGAAAAACGTCGAAACGTGGCGGCTTTGCAGCCTAGTATGGGCTGTTCACAATCTCGTTCCTACCGAGATAGCTTCCGCGAACTCCGCTCTTCCTGCCGGCACCGACGCGACTCGGCATCGCGATACTCTCGCGCGTCGGTCGCTGCAACGCCCTCTTAGCTACCATGTCGACTTCGTTTGGCAGCGCAACAATAAGGTTCTTGTCTGATCCGAACTTGAAGTTATCGGCCTTGACTTCCTCGGAGTAGCGCTTGATGTTGTATGGGTCCTTCCGGTTAGCCAGCACCTTCTTAAGGCTCCAAGTAACGATGAAGGGACCAGTAGCACTGATGATGGTTGTCTCCTTGTCGTCGAGACCTGTGTTGAAGCGCGCTGTGGTGAAGGAAATCGGGGCTTTGGTCTCGTGCTGGAACTGGGCGACGTGGGCAGGCGTGAGGGCCAGACGGCGGGGTTGGGGCTTGTCATCTTTGGCGAAAGACTTCTCGAAACCAAGTTTGCCATCGTTTTTGCCGCCCTTCTGGAGAGCGTCGATGAGGAGGAGGTAGGTTCGCGTGGTGGCGAGAACCCAGCGACCATCGGCTGAGACGTCCATGCCGATGATTGGGTCACCGAGCGCGGGGATGAGGGTCTTTGCGTTGATGCCGAGTCTGTCGAATAGGCGGATGTCTCCCTTCTCAGACGCAACAGCAATATGTCCCTTTTCGGTAGTCGCGGCAGCGGAGAATGCGTTCTTCGTAGCGTACTGCTTGAGCTGGTCGTCAACAAGCTTGTTGCCAGCCAAACGAGGATCGACACGGTAGAGTGCGTTATCGGAGAGACCCAGGAAGGTCTGCTCGCCGCTCATCTGGGCAAATTTCTGTAACATGTCAGCTTACATTCAGATATCAGCAGATGTATACGTACGTTCTCCGGCGCAAAGACCTTGACGGGAATGTCGTCGTGCACCTTCCATTCATCAACGACGGTACCAGTCTCCAGATCCATTCGGTAGAGATTGTTCGGGTTCTCCAGGTTCTGGAGGATCATGTCGCGATCCTGCTGATGCAGCATGACCTTGTTCGGGTTGAAAGCCTTGCCGCCTGGTGTCTTGATGTTTGAGATGGTTGTAGAGAACTGCAACTGGTTCTCGGGCGTGTGCTTGAAAACACCGATCTTGTTTCCTCGCACAACGAACGACCTGTCGTGCTTGTAGCCAACCGCCAACTGCGAGTTCTGGTCTCCGTCGGTCGGGCCAGTCTCGACGTCATCCTCGGACTCATCAGAGTCATAGTGTTCGCTCCGCTGCTCGTTGGTGCTCTCATATTCTTCCTCGTCCTCCTCTTCTTCCTCTTCTGGCTCCTCGTCTGGCGCATCTTCCATAGTCAAGTCCTGGAAGGCTTCTAGAACGTATTCTCGATCTGTATCCTTTGCCTTGCCCCATTTGACCTTGTTCAAGTGCTCCCAAAGGGCTTGCATCACACCTTGCTGAATGTTCTCGAGCTCGTCTTGATCCTTGAACTTCAACAGCCATGAGTACGCCGAGCCATCGTCGAGATAGTGGTTGAAGATGAAGGATTTGTATTCGTAGTTGAAGACGGGATTGATATCCTCGACGATGGGCTGTCCCAGCCACTCGCGCTCTTCGCCAGCAATGTGCAGCCAGTAGTTCCAGTCGCCAATCTCGGTAACAGTGACGCTGACCTTGTCGTCCTGCTTCATGAAGGTGCCAGAGGGGAAGTCGAAGAGGTGAAGCTCCGCGTCTCCTTCGACCAGGGTCTCAAGAGCCTGGGGCTGGGCGGCGGAGGGTGGCGCGGCCGTAGCATCCTCCTGCTCTGGGACAGTGCCCTTGCCTGCAACCTTCTTGGCCATCTTTTCCTTCGTGGTGTTCGGGAACAGTTCTTCGGTAGTGGGGGGCTCGACGGGAAGCGCGCGGGCGTTCGAGAGGGTCGGGCTGGCGATGGGGCTCGCGTCGGGGATAGGTTCCTCGTAGTAGGCTAGAGCAGCGAGATCGTCTTCGGTCGCGTGTTCGTGGCTTCTCCGGAACTTCCTCTCGTACTGGCACTGCAGAGCCACGCGCTCAAACAAAGACGCGGTTTCGGGCTTGACTGACGGGTCGCACACAAACTCCCAGAGGTCGTCGACGTCGCCGCTGAGGTCGCGCCACGCAAAGATCTTTTCGCCGGTGGAGCGGACGTCGTCGCGGAACTGGAGGTCTTCGTCGAGCAGGAATGTCTTTTCGTCCTTGTCGCCGGCAAGCGCGTCAAGTGCCGCGTCCTCGTTCTCTTCTGCTAGCAAGTCCTCCTCGCCTTCTTCGTATGCGCGCTGGATGACGAGCTGATACTGGAACTCCTGCCCGGTGCGGCGGATGGTAGCTGCAGCGTCCTACTAGGCTGTTAATGCACATGCAGTCCAGGATCACGGGCCTGCGTACCTTGAATATAAGCTCCGAGTATCCCTTGACAGAGC